GCCAATGGCCTGAGGCACTAAGCACTGTGGCTAAAAACACCTAGCTAGTCTAAACAACACCATCACATGCCCTGTGGTATCTCCTTGCTTAATTATTCCAGCTTGAAGCCTAGGGGGGGGGGAAGGGAAACTTCATTAGTTTGGTTTTCTGTGGGTTTTCTCTCTTTGTAAAATGTCAGTGTACGGGTATAATGAGAAATTACTACACTCTAAGGGCCTGGCCACATTTAGTGTTTAGTCTTGCATGTCTGAAAGCTCTGATGCTCCTGCCACTGCAATTACTGGCTCAGAGGATTCACAGCAATAGCAAGCCATGAATCCTCCTCTGCAATAAATTAGCGCAGGCATCGGTTCTGCAACACATCACCACCTTCACGTAAAGCATCACACACAGAGAGGGGTTTGTCTCAGTTGTACTTCAACTTTTATCTCGTGACTGTCATGACAAAGCCTCAACAGCAGTTTCTTGACTGGACCAGAAGTAAATGCTGGTCACAATCTGGCTGGCACCGCTAGAGGTAACCAAACATTCTTCCTCCCTGCACCTCCAGTCCCTCCCTGAACTTGTGGCTGGTTTCCTAAGGAGAGAGTTTTTAAGGTAGGATACTGCAAAAATGTCCTTTACCAGCTAAAACACAGAAGTGATTTTTTAAAAAAATTCAATATAAGCAGCACTGAGCTTACACATTCTCCTGTAGTATTTCTAGCCCTCTATTACCTCACAGCCACACTGAGCTTAGTGAGGAGAAGAACTGCTCACAACAGGGAAAAACAGGCTGGTGCATAGGTATTTTTATACATCAGCACAAATAAAACTGACAGCAGAAATAGGGAAAAATTAAATGTAATTCTTCAGAATGCCTCTGCAGTGCCACTAATCCAAAATGTGAGTAGTAACACAAATAAAGGAATTTGGATCCCATTCTCCTATTTAAAATAAACATCCTTTTTAGGTAGAATACATTCAACAAGCCTCACATATTCAGAATTATTCTCTTTTTTCTCCCTTTTTTTTTTACCTACAAATACTATTTATCTGAATGCTGCCTAATTTGCACATGCAAATAAGTAAAATCATCTTGAAAAGATGAGGCTGTAGAACAGAATGCAGTTTAAGCTGGGAATGTCTGTGATTCAAAGAACTGCAACCCTGGGACACTGTAGTGGCTCCCAGCAAAATCTCTGGCTTCTAAGACACACTGAGACCATTTATCCCAGCAGAAAAAGACCTGCAGCTCCCACTGGTTTCAACTTGACTGGTAGATTGGTGCAATAATGAACTGGGACTATTGCTTTGGACAAACTCACTGGAGTTTTGGCAACAGCTCCATATGAAAAGAGTCAGTTCTTCTGGCACAAAGTGACCAAGAGCCCGTATGGCCATATTGGAGACCACATCTGACAGGAATAAAATACATTTATATTTACACCGAAGCTGTACTGTTTTTTCACATGTTTATTTGGTGCCATTGCTGCAAACAAAGAGGAGAGGACAGCTCACATTTCATACCTAAAGTGGAATGCAGAAACATTTAACACTGCAAAACCAAAGGCCACAAAGCTACTTCCATGATTCTAAATCATGAACTAGTATAAGAGCAAACCAACATTTTTCATGAGTTTTTCCAAAAAAGGCAAAAAAGCACAACTACTTATTTCTGACAATTAAGCAGCTTACACAGTCTTTGTTCTACTGACACTTAAAAATGCAGTTTTCAATTATTTATCCTGTATTTCAACACCTAAAGCAGGAAAAAAAGTATGAAGTCTGTGTTCTGCAGCACAGGCAACCCTTACTGAAGGGTTCAATTCATTTATAACAGCGTTTCCCTTAGGAAGTGCCAGTTGGCAGGGAGGATTGGATTGGATTCTGCCATGTTCTGTAATGCGCTATCACCCATTAGCACCCTTATCAGCCAGTAATGTTACACTAAACTCCTCATATACACACATCAGAGAGAATTTTTTTTTTTTACCCCCAGAGATGCTGACCTCATTTAGGAACAGTTGGGAAATCAGAAGTTTGTCCATGGCCAAGGCACTGATGTGCTAGCAGCTGGAGCAGGTTAAGAAGTTGCCATATGAGCACAATTAGGACAGGAGTTCAACAACTTCATCCAATTCACTGAGGAGGATTTAATTTAAGCTTGTGAACCCTCTTTGAAGCAGCTGGGCTGCCCCTCCTGGCCCACCAGCTCTGTGTAGGGACAGCCACTTCTAGCAGGGCAGCCGAGATTTTGAACTGCTCCTGTCATTTGCAAAGTGAACAGGCATCAGTGGTCTACATGTCTCAGATGCTTTTGGAAAGGTTACTCAGATTCAAACTGAGGTGTGTAAGTAGGTCTAGAGGCACCATTTGTTCAGAAATTGAACTGAAATCAAGTGGTGGGGTGAAGGACAAAAAAAATTTGCTGGGGAAAAAAAAAACAAACCAAAAATTCCAGTCCTTCTGGTTTTGTAAAATAGGTATAAAAATGGCCAGCAACAAAAAAAAAACAAATATAGATGGGGCAGATCAAGTCCAAACACAGTCCTTTCTGTCTCTCCTGTTTCTCTACTTAAACAGGGAGACTGAAGAAGGCTTTTAGATAAATACATTTAGACACCACAGTATCTATCTGAACAGAGGCAATGTCAACTTCCACACTTCTTCCACTGTTCTGGAAGAGTCTTCTGCAAGAGAGGGGTTGTAGATCAAGTTTCACTCCAGTCAGTTACTTAATCAATACAAATAGGACTAGGATTCTCTCCCAGGAGACTGCAATAATCACCCAGAATTACTTATGAAAGCCAATCAATGACCGAGAGGTTTTATGTGTCATTTATATACCTCAAATCAAACTCCAAAATTAAACTTTGATTCCGAACAGGATAAGATGTTGCAGCACTAAGCAAAACAATGCACTAGCAAGAGCTGGAAAGGAATCCCAGGACGGAGCCAGGAGAGCACCAGAGACCTGGAACACCAGCAAGGGGAGGTGCAACAACAGAGTGGGGACAGGAACAGCCATAAAACAGGTGAAATAAGCCTCTACAGCTGTATTTTCCTCCTGCTCCTTCAATAAAACAGGCTGCCTTCGAGTCATGAAATGAAAGAGAAAGGCAGCAGAAGGCTCTCAGTTGTGAGATGAGAAAGAAAGAGGAGGAAATTTTATTTCATTATTTCTTCCTTGATTCACGCTGCAGAAGTCTGCAGAAACTGGAGGTTTACCATTTCTGTCAGATTTATCACAGAAAACCCATTTTGATGCATGATTTACAAACTCAGTCTTCCTGTCAAAATGTCACACATCCCTCTCTAGCTTTGTTCTGGTATTACCATTATGTATTTACTACTATATTATTTTTTTTTTTAGCATCTGCATAGCACAGTTGAATAACTTCATGGGCAGTGAGATCATGGTTCAAAAAAAAGATGGGAAACACGCACATGAGCCTATTCATTGTGCTATTTTTGCTGTTCCAAAGTCCATGGCACGAACAATGACTCATAAGTGTAGCAAGCCAGGGAAGCACTTGCTAACCATACAAACTTGTTTACTCATTTATTTGTTTGCACTGATTCATTACATCCTGCAGTGTAAAACCAACGGGGCTCGAGAGGAAGCATGAGGGAGAAATTCTGTTTACCCAAGAGCTCTTTCACCCACCCTGCCCCACGGAGATGGTGGAGGGATATGGGAATACACCTCCTGTGTCCACTCCAGAGAAGCTGGGCTGGAGAGGTGAAATGCCCCTACACACCCGTGGGGCACATTCCCTCTGATGGCTTCACTCTGTCTCGCTTTATCAGCATCACAACAGGGTACAAAGAGCAATAAAAACAGGCAATTTTTTTGCTTAAGCCATACATCGAAATTGTTGCTTCCCCCCCGCCGTAGTCCTGAGATGAGGTTAACTTTTAGTGGGTCCATGCAATTATTTTGGAGAGTTTTGGCAAAAAGCATGCAGCTACAAAAGCAAATCAATTTTCCCATGTGATGCAGTGGTGTTATGGACCCAGAAATCTACTAGAATAAGTATGAATAATAATTAAGAATAATAATATCTGCTTCATCTGAGAAATTTGTGTTATGACATTAAAAAAAGAATTTATTGGACCAGGCCTAGCCACAATTTTCTTATAGGAGGTGAAGATGAGCTTGGTTCTGTCTGCTCACACTGGTTATTCTTGTGTAGAGCAGGGCAGATGTCAGCACTGAGAGATTAGATAATAGCTCTATGATTCATATATGAGCGAATAATACTGAAAGGATTTGGGGAATACCCAGAAATACAGATAAGAGGAAACCACACAAAAATCATGGCTCAAAAAGAAGGGACAGCTGACATGTAAATCTCAATCCAGCTACTGATACCCAAAGGCACAGGCAGAATGAAAGAGGTATTTGAAAAACTTGGGTTTGGAAGAGAAAAATGGCCAATAAGGGGAGAGAGAGAAGTGCAAGAAATAATTAGACACTTACAGAGTACAAACTATGCCACTTCTTCCCAAAACTGCCAGCTCTGCCTAAACACTGCACATTCCCTTCACACATTTACAAGGATTAAGAAGTGTATGGAGTACAAAAGTCTGGCACCACAGGCAGCAGGGAAAAACTGTACACTTGCAATTAAAAATCCCTTATATTTCCATATATATATTTCCATCATATATAATATGATTTTATGGTAAAGTCAGATGTGACATAAGCAGACTAGTCTCCAGAAATACCAGAAATCCCATATATAGTAATTAAACATAGTAATACTTGCTACTGCTAATTCATTTAATCTTCCTTGCCTGAACTCTTGCCGAGTCCCTCACACAAAACTGTGTAAGGCAGATAGTTTCTCTTGTTCCAATCTAACTTCCTACCTTACCACACATTCCTAAGACACTAAGTTATCTCTAAAACATGTACAAAACTGAACTCGTGTCAGATTCTGTTACTGTCCCACAGCCAACATTTAATACCGTGCTGTAAGTTCTACATTTAATATTAAAGTGGTAGCAGTACCTCTTCTGCAAAGTTAGTTTTCTTGTCAAGCATTTCTCGTAATGTCTGAAGAATTTTAATGCAGAGCTTTTCTTCTTTCTCCATGAGCTTCTTTGTGTGGTTAATCAACCTTAAAGTAAAATATTAAACCTTAAAGAGCGTTGCACATTGTTGCTAAGCCATACTACAATTTCTTTATGCAAAAATTGCCTGTCAGTATATTTTTCCTCAAGGAAAGGAAATAGAAGCAGTCAAGAGAAATCATAATTAAAAAGGAAATGGGACTTTCAAGGTGGTTTTTGTGTCACTTTGCATATTTTACTGTCCATACAGAAGGCAGAATTCTACGTCCACTTTTTCTGAGGGCTTCCAGATTAAGATCCAAACTTGCTATTTCATCCTTTCTTTATTTAAAGGTAACTTATTTTAACCTTTATTTAAAGGTAAGCAGTGCTCACCATGCATCTCAAAACCTTTAAAAGCTACAACCTTTACACCTTCCAACTTCCACAATGGTTAAAATATATTTATGATACAATTAGCAAATGGTATCCAGCCAAAAGGATCATCAAAAAGCTTTCATGGAAGTGTTCAGAAATACAGGCATTTGGATGAAACATAACCTTTGTTTACACTCACACAACAACTTGACAAGCCAGAAAACAGGGAACATTTCGATCTCCAGCTATGGCTGTGACAGGAGTTTGTATTTTAGTCAGATTAAGCTGGAATTAGAAGCAGCCTGTCTGCAGAGCAGGTCCATGCACAGATCCTTGCACTTTTTCACACATTGCTGGAGAAATGTTTGTGCAGTACATGGGCCACATCCATCAGCCCTGCACATGATTTGATGCTGACTTGGGACAGGAACTTGGACAGAGGGCATGAGATGGGACAACCCCAAAATTTAGCTTAATTTTTCCAAATATACAAAGTGTATTGTTATAACACTACCTCTGCAGAATATGCAAATAGCCAAGGAATCAGGAGAGCTGCCAAATGCATTAATTTCCCTCAAGTTATCTCTGTTTAAATTATAGTTTCTCAAGGGCGGGGGGGGCATCTCACTTGAGGACTAATAAAAAATTTGCAAGACTCTATTCCAATGCATAGACTGCAAATAAAATATCTAATAATTCAAGACCAGGTAGGGGTGCCAGTGAACTGTATTTTAAAAGAGCTGTTGATAGTTTAAAATAAAAATATCTATTTGCTATACCAAAAAAAACCTTTAACAAAAAACCACTAGCCCTGAGCCCCCCACTGCTTCACTATGAAGAAAATTCTACTATGGAAAGTCTCAGTTAATGCTGTAGATTTGGAGAAACTTAATAGCAAAAGTAGCCCATTGAGAAAACAGAAGTTGAGCCTGCCACAGTTTTAACAAGCTATTAACATCCCATTTCTAGGTAAACAAGGCAAGCAACCTCTCTCTCTGCTCCTCTCCAGACTCCTAAACTGCTGAGAAATACAAAACATGCAGCAAAATCCCTCAGTTTAAGCTTTCAATAGTGAACTCAGCCACCTGCATGCATAAGTTTCTGCTGAAAATCAGGGTTAAGTGCTGCTGAAAATGTTAACTCCCTGCCATCCTTCCCAGCAAAGCAAATAGGCCTCTCTGCACACCACTTACTTGGACATGAAAGCACCACATCTTATCCTGGCATCACTCCCCTCAGGAAAAAGGAGCTCTGGACTGTGCAGCACATCAACCAGCACCGAGAACTCAGCCTGCATCATGGGAGTGAACTGCTGCTCCAAGGAGGACACCACATCCTGGGGAAGAAAGGAGGACAACATTCAGAGCTGCAAAACTCCTGATGATGTTGAACCTCTAAGTGCACAAGGTGATCTCCATCTCGTAGACGATCTCCAGTGATATAGACCTGACATAACAGCTCCTAAAAGCTCCACTGCCTCCTCTGCAGCCAAAGAGGGACACATGGCCACGAAAAGGCAGAAAGGAGATCCTGCTCTGTGGACCACTTTGAGAAGAACACACCTTGAATACCGTGTGCAGTTTTGGTCACCACAATATAAAAAAGATATGAAGCCCTTAAAAAGAGTCCAAAGGAGGCAATGAAGATGGTGAAGGGCCTTGATTTGAAGCCCTGTGAGGACACTGAGGGCACTTGGTGTGTTCAGCTGGAGAAGAGGAGGCTGAGGGGAGACCTCAGTGCAGTTACAACTTTCTTGGGAGGGGCAGAGGAGGGGCAGGCACTGATCTCTGCTCTATGGGGACCAGGGACAGGACCCAGGGAATGGCCTGGAGCTGTGTCAGGGCAGGCTCAGGTTGGATCTCAGGGAAAGGTTCTTCCCCCAGAGGGTGGTTGGGCACTGACCAGGCTCCCCAGGGCAGTGGGCACAGCCCCAAGGCTGCCAGAGCTCCAGGAGGGTTTGGATGATCCTCTGGGGCACAGGGGGTGACTGCTGGGGCTTTCCACATCTGGCACATGTGAGATAAATGCACTGGCACCACTGCCCAAGCCATTTGCTGGTTTTGTACCTGCAGTTTTTCTATGATATTCCTGTAATCCCAGGCAGGCCCACCAAGAGCTTCTTTGAAGCGAGGTCCACTGCGGGCTGACATTCTCCACCCCATGGCTGCCCTCTGCACCATGTTAGAGTGGCTCTTCATGAACAAGGTGTTGACCTGGCTGTCCAAATCCACTGGAATTGCAATCCCACGGTTCTTTGCTTTAACAGGAAAAAAAAAGTTAAAGTAAGACATTTACAGTGGCAAAAACTTGAAAATCTTATCAAGATCATGGCATGCAAAATCTGACTGTTCCTGAAGTTAAGGGGCAGGGGGGATATCACTTCAACAGGTTTTAAAAATAAGGATCCTAAAAATAAGGAGCCTTATATCTAAAAATAAGGATACCTAAGATACTACCTACCTACTTCTACCTAAGTGGTAGAAATCAACCATAATCCTGTTAAAGAAAGAAAGCTGCACCAATTTTAATGAGATGGGGATAATTTCCAGTATGTATTTTTATAGATACATTTATTTTTTAAAACAGAATTTTTATTTTACTAAAAAAAAATCAGATCCAGAGATATTAATAAGAGTAACAAAAGGAGCATGCATTATTATTTCAACAGCTGGTTTTACTTTATTCAGAAGCAAATTCTAAAATTCTTCTTTCTAGTGGACATATGCATATTTATCCAATTCATCCCAAGTGCTCTTTGCTGCTTTTCTGTGTATTTCTCCTGTGAAGACCTTGAGAAACCAAGTGCATACAAATTAAATTTGAAAAAGACTGTCTCCTCTTCTCTCTGGGTTTCCTATACTGCTGGGATTGATAAACCCTGGATTCCTGGATGCCACTACAATATATCTAATAGTTAATAAACATCTGATAGTTTAACTGATAGTTAAAAAATTTAATCAATAGTTAAAGAATTTTTTTTTTAGTTTTTAGACTTAAGGGGCAGGAAGTGACAGTAGAGACAATATCAGAGGCAAAAAAAAAAAAAAAAAAGAGGAAAGGCTTGCAGGAATCCTTACAGGGCATCCACTATTAAACTACTCTTGCATTCTGAACTGTTGTCTGAGAAGGCAGTTTGAAAGCAATGTTAGAAGGTATCTGCCCTCTCCCACATAAAAGTTTCTGTGTTAGCTGCTTCTCTCCATCCCACTGGACATCACAGTGGCAAGCAAGAGTTGTCTGAAATTCAACAAAGAGTTTGCTCCATCCCTGGAAGTGTTAAAAGCCAGGTTGGATGGGGCTCTGAGCAACCTGGTCTAGTGGAAGGTGTCCCTGCCCATGGCAGCGGGGTTGGAACTGGATAATCTCTAAGGTCCCTTCCATCCCAAACTATTCTGTGATTCTGTGATCAATGCAGTAATATCTCTGAAAGATTAGGTCACATTCCAGTGCTTAGGCTCTGCATTCTGTCATTTCACTTAATTTCCATGGCACAGTTCATGCTTAATAAAAACCTAGAAGCAAAATGGAGAAGTAGTTCTAGTTCATTTGGAATAATGACTAATAATAACTGATTTTTTCATTTTCCTTATTGAAAGAAGGTGAATTTTATAAAAAGCATCAGCCTATGTTGCGGTTCTGCTCAACATTTCTCTGAGGCATTTCCCCACCAACATGCACGCTGTCTGCAACACTCCTCCTTCCCAGCTCTTAAAACATATACAACTTGAAGTCCTGAACTTGTGAAGTCAACAGGCGCCCTTCTTTCCCGAACAGCCTATGGATCAGGCCCCACAGGAGTATGTGCAAGCAGAGCCAGGCACACAGCTCGGATGAATGAAGGTTCAAGTGCTGCCAAGCACAGTGACTCACAGATCCCAAAAGGCACAAACTTTCTCTCCCTTTGAACACTATATTGTAAAGGCAGAATTTATTATAAACCTAAATTTGGCTGTGATACCTCACCCCCCAGTCTCAGACTGTGGCAAGGGAGCTCTGTCAGGGGTACTCTCATCCCTTTGATGGCTCCCACAGGTGCAGGGCACCCTCCTCTGGATTAGGCTGTTCCACTGGGATGAAAGAGAGATCTCATCTTCTGCTTCTGGTAGGCACCTTCTTTTAAATAGTCTGCCACAGGGAATCGAAAAAATAAACATTTTTTTTTTAGGTCAAGATGGGAAGAGACAAATTGACTTTTCCTTTCCACTCTCCTTTTGTTTTGAAGGCAGGTTCTGATTAACATGTGGAAAATACCACGGATGGCTGGCCATTATTTCTAATGATTGTTTTTTTCCATATTTTGCAACTGGGCTATTTTTCAAAACACATTTGCCCTGTTGGTGCTTACTTTACTAGAGAAGTCCATTAAAGTTCTGCCAGTGTGAGTAGGTGCTGCAGCTTATTAATCCAATTTATTGTGTCCTAATGTCAATCACTGGAATGTTACTGGACAATGCTCACTTCTCAATTAAGTGGAATGCATGCATAATCCTGATATATTGAAGAATAAATTTAGCAATGGGGAACACTCTGTTCAGAGAAAAACCCAGACTTTTGCAGTCCTACAGATGCCATGGAAGTTAACAACTTCCATCAGTGTCTAAGGAGTAGTCAAGGACTATGATTGTTCAAAGAGTTGCAGCTAATTAAAACTATCACAAAGAAAACCAGAGGGAGAAAAAAAATACTGCTTTGTTTTGAACAGTTCTTACATGTATAATTCCATTTGTAATTAAGATTTGTATTGGTTGTCAAAGGGCACTGTTGAAGTCTAAGCTATAAACAAAGCCTTTGTCTTCTTATTCCTTTGCAGCTTGTAGAAAGTTTATCTTTCATTTGTTTCATATTTCATTATTTAAAACAACATGAAACATATTTTTACATTTTGGAAAGCTGATGAACAAATGTGAACATAAATATTTATTTTAATTTAGGTGTTGTAGGCTGCTTTCCTCTTCAAAATGTGTCAATCTCCCTTAAAGTATCAACATCAAATATTTAAAAGCATGTTTATTTTTGTTCCACTTAGAAATACTTTTGGACAGCAGTCAAACTTGCAAAGTAGGGTTAGAGCTGGGAGACAAAGTAGCTGAGAGGGGGTAAAATTCTGTCTTTCATCTGACTAGTGAACTTGGGGAAAAGCTACATGGCTGTATGTACAGTGGTACCATAAGTATCCAGCAGGATACCTACAAGGATGGACTAGAACATGGATTCCATTATCCCTGTAGGTCCAATTCAGAATATTCTGTGATGTCTTCAGCAAAGATAAATTCTGTCCTGCAGTGAAGGGCATGTCACAAGCTTTTATACTGCCCAATTCCTACCTAGGGCACTGTGCACAGGGCTAATTACACCCTGAACATGCAACACTGAATTGCCAGTGTCAGAGGAAATGGAATTTGCTGGGAAATCCCCCAATTATGCCATCAGCAAGAGCCACACTTGAGACAAGCAAACAGGACCCATGGAAATGGTAAGAAACCCGGTGCTGCAAATCCAGCCAGGTCACAGTAAAATGTTCTGCTCTGTGCTGGATGGAGCTGTGGGCACCCAGTGCATCAGCAGCTCTGCTTTCCCTTACTGTTTAAACAATGAAAAAGTACTCTGAGGTAGGGACTCAAAAGAAAAGGGCAACATTAATGCTGAGAATCAAGTAGCAAAAAATCCAGCCACTCTCCATCAGTGAACGAGACTCCCCCGCAGCCCCAGGAGCACATCCAGCTGCTCCCAGAAAGGCTGGAATGGGCAGAGGTGTTATTTGGTTAAATTACCTGCATGTATTTCTCTCCACAGAAGCACAGCAATTGGACCTATTTCAGGAATGCTTGCTGAAGCACTGTCCTTTCACTGTGCTGCCTGCCTGAGCCTGAGGATCAGTTTAGCACTAAGGATTTCCAGGAAGTGGCCCTCGCCTGTAATTTTCCTTGGAAGCCCATTCTTCAGAATAATGTACCTTGCCATGAGGAGCCTTGCTGTTCTTGCTATTTCCACCGAGCGCTCCCTAATTTTAAATTTCACTCCATTACCTTTTGTAATGTATACAAAACACAACAGCATTTCGTGGCTTCACAGCTCTTTCAGCGCTCTTTGCACTACCCTAAACCATCCTTGGGGCACGTTTTTGGGGGGACCCACAGGTGTTTCACCCCTTGCAGCACCAGGTGTGGGTCATGAAAAAGCCACAGCTGTGCCTGGCTGTGAAGCCTTTCCTCTCCTTGCTGTTTACACCCCTCTGGTAGCTGCAGACAGCTATATCATGTTCTCCCACACTTCCCAGTTGTCACGTAATGGAGCGATGCATATTTAGTTCAATTAATTTTGTTCCATAAATCAGTCCCTCCAGCTCCTTAATCATTTACTGACTGCTTAACAAATGCATTTGGATGGAGAGACACTAATGCTGGAGACAGCAAGACTTTTTAAGGGAAATAAAAGCTTTGTGTAGACAAGACACAAACCTGCCAGTCTTGTACCCTTCACTTGGATGTTTTTTTTTCCAACGGAAAATCTACACTAAAATATTTATCAGCCTGTAAAAAGATCATCATTGAATTTTTCTTGCAATTAGGGAAACACAAACAGTTAAAATAGAATAAAATATGTGCTTCATCTGAAATGTTATTCTTCTTGCTGTCAAAAAAGCAACAACAGGATAATTATTTTATTTGAACTAAAAATTGAAAATGAAGGTCTATCTTTTTAGAAAATGGAAATCAGGTTTTAAAGCTCAAATGGGAAGCAAAAGAAACGTATTTTCAGGAGTGAAAAAAATTGTTATAGGAAAATTCATCTATATGGACATTAAAAGACACACAATAATTCCAAAGAAGCAATAAAATGTGACCTAGATTTTATGTTTAATGTATCCTGTTTGTAATTTGTCAGGGAAAAGTAAAGGGCTTTAGAGGGCATAATAGCATGGTCAGGAAGAGCCACAGGAGAGTTTTTTCGGATTCTGTACAAAGGGGTATTGGTGACCTGAAATTAGGGAATAAATACTAGAGTAGAAAGGACTTCACTACTCCTTCAGACCATCTGTTCTCTGTTACAGACAACTCATGTTCTTTAATATCTTTGGGAAAATTTATGGAGCCCCATTTAGAATGAAGGGAGCTTATCTGCCACCCCTCCTCTCTCCATTTTCTCTCAGCCCGTTGACCAAGGACATCCTTCCAAAGTTGGTTCCAATCCTCTGATTTACAATCTAAATTTATTTTGGTTATTTACAACCTCCTGTAATTTATGTCCAGTTGGTTT